CTTGTCTAGTTCCTGATCTTATGGGAAAGGCTTTTCGCTTTTCACCATTGAGAATAATACTGGCTGTGGGTTTGGGTATATGGCTTTTATCATGTTAAAGTATGTGCCTTCTACCCCAAGAATTTCAAGGGCCTTCATTATATGATCATATGGTTTTTCTTTTTCTTTTTCTTTTGTTGATGTGTTGGATTATATTACTTGATTTTCACATGTAGAACTTTCTTTGTGCTCCTGGGATGAATCCCGTTTGATTATATTATCCTTTTGATTTTGTTGAAGATTTTTTATCAGTGTTCATTAGGGAAATTGTGTTTTTTCTGTGTGTGTGTGTGTCTGGTAATAGTGTAATGTTGGTGTCATAGAATGAATTTTTTGTATTACAGGTTTTTGAAAGTTTATTTATGTGTAGGATGGGCACTAATTCATTTCTGAACATATGGTAGAATTCATTTGTTATGCTGTCTGGTTCTGAGTTTTGGGGGGAGTGTTTTGATTACTGTTTCAATTTCACTGCTTATAATTGGTCTGTTTAGGTGTTCTATTCTTGATCTGCATTGTATAATTATATCATTGAAGAATTTGTCCATCTCTTCTAAATTTTTGAACTTGATTGCATATAAATGTTCATAGTAATCTTTGATTATGCTTTTGAGTTCAGCTGAGTCTGTTGTAATTTCTCCTTTTTCATTTATGATCCTATTTGTGTTTTCTCTCATTTTTTATTTGTGAGGCTGGCTAGAGGGTTTTGTTTTGTTTAGTTTTTTGTTTTTTTTTGTCTGCTTTTTAGAAGAATCAACCTTTGGTTTTGTTGATCTTTTGGATTTTTTTATTTCTATTTCATTTCTGCTTTGATTTGCACTATTTCTACTGGTTTTGGGGTTTTTTGGTTCTTTTTCTAATTTTTCAAAATGGGAGATTTGGTTGTTTCTTTGAGTTCTTTCTTGTGTCTTGATGTGAGCCTGTATTGTTATATACTCTCCTCTTATTACTGCTTTTGTTGTATCCCATATCTTCTGGAAAGTGGTGTCTTCATTGTCACTCAAAGTATTTTTAAATTTGTCCTTTGATCTCCTCTTTAAGTCTGTGGCCTTCCAGTGTTGTGGATTTCAACCTGAGCGATGTGGGAGGATTCCTTGCTTTCTTTTCATGGTTTCTTTCTTTCTTTCTTTTTTTTTTTTAAAGATTTATTTATTTGTGCATACAGAACTGGGGTATAGGCCAGAGGCTCAGGGGCGGTGAGAGGCTTCACCAGAGACAGAGTGGGGAGCAGAACAGGCAGATCGACGAAGTACACTGCTGAGGGGAGCAGCGGGCGGGTCAGGAGAGGTCTGCCACGCCATGTGGTCACCTCCGGGGCAGGCAGGAATTGAACTCATGCAGAAGCGGCTTTAGATTCTCAGTGCTGTGCTTTAACCCGCTGCGCCTCCAGGGAGGGCCTCATGGTTTATTTCTATTTTGATGCCGTTAGAGAAGACGGAGTGATTTTAATCTTTATCTGTTGATAGTTGTCTTGTGGCCCAGTGTGTGATCGATTCTGGAGAATGTTCCATGCATACTTGAGAAGAATGTATGCTCAGATTTTTTTGGGGTGCAGTGTCCTTTAGATGTATGTTAAGCCCATGAGATCTAGGTCTTTATTTAGGGCTCTGGTGTCTTATCTTTTGCCTCATTGATCTGTCCTTGGTGCAAGTGGGGTGTTGCAATCTCCCACTATATATGTATTTTCACTAATGTCAGTTTTCAGAGCTGATAGTAATTGTCTTACATATTTTGGTGTCCTTCATGGTGAGTATATGTTGATGAGTGTTATACCTTCTGATGTTTTGTCCCCGTGATCATAATGTAGTGACCATCTTTGTCTCTTTTTGCTTTTTTTAGCCTGTTTCACCCAATATAAGTGTAGCTATTCCTACCTTCTTTTTGGTCCATTGGCTTGTAGGATTATTTTCCAACCTTTTACTTTCCATCTATGTTTAACTTTTGTAGTTAAATGTGATTTTTGTAGACAGAAAAAGGCTATATTTTGCCTTTTAATCCTGCATGCTCTTTTTTTTATTGATGAGTTTAGTCCAGTTACATTTACAATTAATATTGATTCAGTGGTGTGTTAGACATTTTGTCTGTCCTTTTGTATTTTATTCCTTGTCTTATTCTGTTGGTTTGGCTTTAGGACTTGTAGCCTTTTGGGGGGGGGGGGATTGGGAACTTAGTTGTAATGAATTTCTGGAGTTTGTATAAGAAGGAGCTTATTTTTTCTTTATAGAGGAAGGAGAAAGTTGCAGGGTATTCCTGGTTGATATTTGCTGTCTTTGAGTTTGTTGAATGTGCCACTCCACTCTGTGCTTGCCCATGGTGTTTCTTTGGAGAAGTTTGATGTCAGCCTGATTAGTTTTCCGTTAGAGCTTATCGGCTTCTTCCCCCTTGTCAGCTTCATTATTTTTTCCTTGTTTTGGAGTCTTAAAAGCTTTACTGTTCTGAGTCTCGCTTAATTTTCCTTTAATTGTGGTAATGTGGTGGTGTTCTTACCTCTTGTATGTCTATTTTCATGTCCTCCTTTGTATGTCTATTCTCATGTCCTCCTTCATGCTTGGAAAGTCCTTTTCGATGATCTCCTTAAATAGTTTCTCAGTTTCTTGGTGTCTCGCCTTACCATCTGGGATTCCTGTAACTCTTACACCACTTCTCCTCATGGTGTCAGATAGTTCTCAAAGTGTTTATTCTTTTTCCTTTGTACTTCTCTTTCCTTTTCTTTTTTTTGGTTCTTTGTTACTTCGAGAGTACTGATTCTTCCATTTCATCAATTCTGTTTTCATTGCTTTTCCCAGATTTCCTTAGCTTCTCCTTACTCTTGATTTCCTGTGTTTGTCACTTCCTTTTTTAGGGACTCAGTTTCATTCTTCAGTTCATTAATTATTTTTCTCCTGTTGTTCTCTTTTCTTTTGGTCTTCATGTTTTCTTAATTCTGATAATATTAAATTCTCCATCTGGTAGGCAGAGAAATTCTTCCATGTCATTGTTGTTCTGTTCTGGGTGCTGATTTTCTTTCTGTGTATGCCCTTCCCCTGAGGGCTTGCTTGGTTTTGTGAATCTTTCCTTATCTCGGCTGTTTGTTTTCTAATTTGTTCAGTGCACGGGGACACTGTGCTACTGGCATTGGTGGGCATCTCTTTGGTGTGCTCCTTCTGGCATGTTGGGAACTGGTGGCCAGATCGAATCCAGCATTGTTCATTGAAACACCACAAAGGTAGCAATGCTGGTGAGTGCTGTCCCTGAATATCCCCTCACTCTGTAGGTACTTAGTTACACAAGGGCTTTGCGGGGTCCTCGTCTTCCAACAAAGGATCTGGTGCTGTGCTTTCCTGGTGTCTGCAGTTTGCCTTGCTGGAAGATCCCTCAGTTAAACTCAGTTCCAAAGCCCAGGCAGTCTCCAGAGGCTGCAGCGACTTTGCTCCATGCACACTTCCCTACTGACTCCCGTTTTGGGGCCCGCCCCCTTTTTCAGATCCAGAGGGTGGTTGTGGGGGTTCCTGACTTCCAACAGTGGTGCAGGGATTGTACTCTCCTGGTGTGGTGCCCTGAGTTCACTTTGAGGGCGGACCCCAGTTCAGCTTGATTCCAGTGCTCAGGTGGGCGCCAGGGGCCTGCAGCAGCTTTGCTCTGTTCACACTTCCCTGCTCAGAACATTTATTCTTAACAGGGCCCTGCCCGTCCATTTCTATTTCCATTTGCATTCCTCTCCATCCTCCCCCCTCCCAACTGATTTTGTCTTCATTGTATGTATTGTCTCTTCTCCCTACTCAACTGCTTGTCTTGTCTTCTGGAATGTCCTGCATAAGGTTAGGTCTTTGTTGTGTTCATTGCTCTATCCCGGGGCTTTGCATGGTGCCTGCCATGGGGTGGGCGAGCAAAGTTTGTGGGATGAATAAATGAATGGGTGAGTGAAATATATTTGACAGCAAATGATGCCATGATTATGAGCCGAGGCATTTATTTACTGTCAGTTTGGTGTCATTCAGGGTAAATGAGCCATCAAGATATCCCTTAGGAATATAGACAGAGAGAGAGATACATTGGATTTTGCTTTAAGGAAAACCTTATTTCTTTAGTTTTTAAATTGGGTACTATTGAAATCTCCCCCTAGGACCTGTGCTCTTAACCACTGAGCCACACCACTTCCTGTGGTTGCAGGGACAAGATAATGGCTCTCAGGTTTCCCACTCCTCTGCTGTTACTACATGGAATGTTTTCCATCTAGATGAGACTAAGATGCTATAGTTTAGCGCAGGTGTGATTTGTGTCCACTGATTTAGAGGAAAGGCCACTGCATCTTTGGTTATGTCTGGCTTTTAGGTTCAAGTGAAGGGCTACATGGCTTTGCAGCCATTCAAACACACCTGGCACCTCTGTTATACAGTAATGTTTGGATAGTTTAGGCTCTGGATATATGAAATATCGACCCTGTCTGGAAGAGCTGAAAAACTGTTGGGGTTGGGAACTGGCAGATGAAATAGGTAACAGTGTGAGCACCAGCCCATTATTGCATCTTTACTCTTCAAAATAATCCTATGAGATATGAGGATGTTGCTTCCATTTCACAGATAAACAAATTGAGGCTTTAAGGTGTTCTGTAATTTGCTGGAGTCCTACTCTTGACCCTTGAAGCATGGAAAGGGAGGGAACTGACTTCCCTGGCACAGGATGTCACCTGCTTAACCAGACAGGGTGGTTTCAGGTATATCTGGTCTCAGCTTGTGAATTAAGAAAGTGACTTCAGGTTCTGAAAGCCTCTCTAGGGATGGGGTTCACAGTGAGAGGCTCAGTCATGGAACTAGACGAGTTGGACACCCCAAGAATCCAGCACACAGACATCTTCTTGAATTACTAAGTAGAGGTTTCCAGGAAGAGGGACTGAAACTTAAAAGCCTGTCTCCTTAAAACATAGAGGACTGAGAGGATAGACTCCTCATCAACTCCCATACCCCTTTCTTGTTCTTGTTTAGCCAGGTGATTTGCTCTACTTCCCCAGAGGGACCATCCATCAAGCGGACACTCCTCCAGGGCTGGCCCACTCCACACATGTGACCATCAGCACATACCAGAACACGTGAGCACTCTGCTTACTGGCCTGGCCATCAAGTTGTGGCTCACAGTAGCTGCCTTCAGGAGGGACCTGGGTGGTGGTGGGAGGCAGTGATGGGCACCACCCTGAAGCTTATCCCACTTGGGTTTAGACTTCCCTGCTGACCTCATATCCTTCAGTGACCCGTGGGTGCCTTTGGGCTACCTGGGCTGCTTCTGACTGAAGGACATGGGAAGTTGCCTAAATAAAGGCTCCCACAGTTTGGAGACAGGACTGAAGTTGAGGGTGTGGCTGTGACTGAGACCACGCTGGGCTCATAGTTTCTGCTTTATTTTTAAATTTTTAAAAATTGTGACGGTTTATATAACATAAAACATGGCATTTTAATCATTAATTGTGTTCACACTGTGACTTTCACCACTGTTTCCAGAATATTTTTATCACCCAAACAAACTCCATAAACACTGAAAACTCTTGGTTTCTATTAAGATTTCCACATTTTACAGTTGAACTTCAGGTAGAAAGGCATTCTGGAGCAGTGAGGCCTAAAAGCACAGGTGCTGAAAACAGTTCTACTTAACATCGTTTCCTTGGGTGCCCTTATGTCAGGACCCGGGCAGCAGCGCCCTTTTTTGAATAGCAGTGACCTTGCTGATGATACACATTCCATTAAAAATACCACTCATTAATTGTGGGACATGCAGCAGTGTACTGAAGGGCTCTGTGTGAACTCATAGTCTGGGAGTGGAGGTGAGCGGGGTGTAAGTCCTGTTACAGGTTTCATCGCACTAGGAGCAGAGCACAGCGGGATGTGCTTCACTAAGTTGGGCGTTGGGGGAAGTTTCGGAAATCACTCAACACCCGAGCTGAGTGGCTTAAAGCATGAGTAAGTGGAGGGAGGTGAGAAGCACACGAGAGGCCATTCCAGTCCAAAGGACAGCAAATCCCCCTCCACTTTCCAGCTAAGATTTGGGAAGCATGTTGGTAAGTGGACCTCTGCCTCCGTGCCTCGCTTTCCCATACAGGGAGGTCTAGCTGGAACCTGGCCCGAAGTTACCGTTCTTTGCCCACAACTAGAAGGCCAAAGCTGTGTTTGATCCCTTTATGAGGAATGTCTTGTTGCTGTGACTAGCAACTACTAGTAACTTCTATAGCAAGAGAAAGTCTCCAAAGCCCATTCAGGAACAGCAGGGGTGACTGGAAAGTGGGTTGAGGAACTGGAGAAGGGTGGGGCCATGAGGTGGATCTCCCACTTCCTTCTAGATCCGAAGCCAGGTTAGAGAAGTGGCCTTCTCAGGGTATGGGTAGGCAGAGCGGCTGATTTGTTTTGGGCAGACTGACTTGGGGCTCCCGCAGGGTAGCTGTAACTGGAGGACCATCGCTCCCATGCCTTGGTCCTCTCATGCTCCTTAGAGCCCCGTGACAGAGTGGGGCTCTGCGCTCTTCCTCATAGCCCTCCAGGGTAGCGTTGCTGGAACATTTGGGGGCCTTCCCTGTGGGACAGCAGCAGGTTGTTGACTGGTGGTCTGACTACCGTGAATCCCCCAACAGGTGTTATATCCAAGTTGAGCACTCCAGAAGCTATTCTGAGTCTGAAGAGTGTGGTGCAGTTAAATTCCTCTTTGAGCTGTTGCTGCATGAGTGACTGACACCTGGGACCTTGCAGAGACAGTATTTACTGGGTGCTGCTGAAGGATCTGGATGTGACCTCACATGGAAGTCAGAGTGAGGGGGGTGGCGTGTTACATTTAGTTGCAGAGTGGTGAGGCAGGCCCATAATGGATGTCTTGGGAAAGTGTCTCTCTGGTCACTTTTGTCCTTTGCTACTTTTCCAGGAGGGAAGCATCAAAGAGTTCAATTTTGTGTACTGAGAAACAAAAGTCTTCCTGTGAGTTTCCATTTTGCACATAGCTGGCAGCTGGAATCCCCTGGTCCCAGGAGAATTTTAAACAGCTAACACTTGTTTAAAGAGAACAGCCCCACTGTGTACATCCACATTGATACACATCTGGGCTGGGCTCATTGTAAATACCCCAAGAGAGCAAAGGTAATTTTGAACCCCAATGCTCAGGCCTCCGTGATTTCGGCGCCTGGCTTATGCCTCATTAAAGCCATGCTTTGGCTTAGTATGGCACGAAATCAATTGTTCTGACATTGTTAAATGTTGCATATTTTACTGAGGAACAACACATAGGAAAGTAATATTTAACTAGTTGAATTATTACACATCCTGCTGAACTTGTGGTTACCTAAAGTGTATCGCTTTTGAGTTTTTTTGCACATAACTTTTTTTAGGTCCTGTGATTGACTTAAATTTTCTTACCAAGTTCTCATATACTTGAGGTACATTGAAAACATTTTTAAAAAAGTGATCCCCTTAACTCCCTGCTTATGTCAGTGTACAATTTATTGTTTTTTTAATTTTAAGAAAAATCACACATGAAGTCCAGCTTCCCACTTCTAATGTTCCACACAAGTGTCTGGAATGATTGAAGTCAGTAATGGTGAATGATGTCAATTTGTACTCTGAATGCGCAGGCAGCAGAGTTGACATGCAGTATGTAGCTTCCAGCTTTACTGGTAGTATTTTGTGTATGTGTTGTGTGTGTTCACTGCTTGCTCTCTGGCACGTGTTCCAGTTCCTGGGGAGATTTCCTTTTGGACACCGTCTCGGGGCTTGTGTTTGATGCCGCAAAGGAAGACCTGGAGTTACGGGCCGGCATCCCCCGGCAGCTGCTCCTGGTAAGGAGGGAAAGCAGGTGGCACGGTGGGGTGCTAGCACAGCCCAGGCCACCCAAAGCGGTGGCCCACTTGCAGGGGCCGGGGGTCGGTCCCCCACCAGCCAGGCTGCCCCCTCCCACAGCTGCATGGTTTGCAGAACACGGAGTATTGCACGTTGTGTTCTGTACACAGCTCTTCCGTGGGGGCAAGAGCAGCACTGTGTTCGCTCAGTAAACGACAGTGACTAACACAGCATGGAGAACTGGCGATTCGGCATAATGAGATTACTGGGGGGGGGTCCTGGCTGTGACCCACCCTGCTTTACCTTTGAACCAGTAGCAAGCACTGCGTGGCTGGCTATACGATAAGTATATTAGTACTGAGTCAGGCAAAGTTTGCTTTGTTGTCTGAATATGTCATGTTGGGATGATAACATTTTAAAAATGAAGGGATCTCTTCTTTGCAAGCAAATTCCTGGAAGTTGCTTTTTTTGGCAAACTAAGCAACTTATAAGCATTGGTGACAAGGAAATAATGGACTCTTAGAGTTTTTAAAGACCCATTCTTCCTGCCCTGGTGCTCATTTCTGTGCTCTCTACTCCGGAGACTGGGGCCTGGGCAGCAAGTTCTGGTGAAGTCCAGACCGGAACTCACTTCTGTGTTCGTAGCAGGCAGAAACCACAACTGTTGCAACAAGATTAAGTGGTTTTCTGAGGATGCTTGCAGACCGGCTGGAGGGCACCAAGGAACTGCTTTCTGCAGACATGAAGAAGGATTTCATTGTGAACAGACTCCCGCCTTACCACGGAGGAGACGGAGATGAGCTTTCAACACCAGGTGGAGATTATCATTTTCTTCCCATAGCTGAGGCTTTGCTGGGTGGGCCCCTCACTTGGGCACATGGAAAGTATGGAGCACCTAAGAATTAACATGGACTTAGCTCAGGGGTGGGTAAAATACAAGAATGCCTAAAGTTACCACTGAGCTTCCCCAAGTCCTAGGTGGTTAATTGGTGACAGGTTTGGACTGCACATTACCTAAATACGCTGCTGAATGAATGGTGTCAACGATTTCAAAAACCACGCTGATGTAGTCAGAAGTGGTTTGTTGTTGACTTGTGGCTACAGGAAGGAGCACTGGGAACTGTGGCCACCACAGTAAAAAAGTGGATGGGTAATTTAATAGGATTTGGACATGAATTGCATGATTGTCATCAAGGAAGCTGTGCTGTAGATTTGGATGCTTTGACGACATAGGCGGGATTATGGAGTCTCCTCCAAGCCTTAGCTACTAGGCAGGAGGGATGTACTGCAGCTATAATCAGCCAGGATAGATGTTTGGTCATTTTGTGGTTTGAATGAGATGTTCTGCTTTCTCCTGAGTTCTGATATGATTATGAAGTGATCTTGTTGTTACAGAAGTAGAAGCCTTAATGTGTAATTTGGGTGTTCTATGAAATTGTTTAACAGAGTTGTGAGTTCTAGACCACTTGACCTGTTTTTCTTAGTAAGGTTTGAGCAAGCATATATTTACCAACTTTTAAGAAAGCTTTAAAAAATCTATGCTCCTTTCATACCTTGGTAATGTTTCCATTTTTATTATCTTTGGAGTATGTTTGATTTTCTTAAATAGCACATTTTCAAGTCTACATATTTTAATCTGTAGCAGAACAGTTTTTCTGAGTTTCCAGCTTATGGCTCAGAATGTCTTACCTGCAAGGTTTTCCTAGCCTAAGCCATTGTGCTCCCTCAGTATATTTTCCCCAGCCACATGACCCTGTAAGACAAATCTGGGTTTAGGGGCTGCTTTTTCAGAAAGATTAAATCCAGCTTGATAGGAGTATTATTTTCTGTGAACTTTATTGTGTGACCTTCACAGACGAGTTGCTGTGGTCCCAGCAGCAGATACAGGTGCGAGTGAGGGGACAAGGCACCTCGATCTCTGTGTTGTGATAGCTTTCTTGCTTTGATGGTATTGTCTGATGTATTTAGCTGTCTGAGTGGACCTCTCTAAGGATGTTAAACAGGTTGGAGGCTGACTTTCTTTCTGGGTTTTCTAGCTGGACAGTTACCAAGACTGGACAGCACAGTGAGACTGCAGTTCAAAGACCACATCATCTTCACCCTGGGGCCGGACCAAGACCCATCTGTGAGTATCAGACTGGAAGAGGTTTCCCGTCTCAGGTTTAGGTCAGATTGTCCATATCGCTCTGTTCTTAAGTTTCCTGCTTATTTAACAGCTCAGGGCAAATCCTCCCTTCTGGCTGATCTTTGCTCTATAGCTAGAACACTTCCCAAACTGAGCCTAGAATCAACTTGAAAATTTAGATAACTTATTTAGGAAGTTGGGAACCATCCTGGTTTTACTGCCCTGTGTTCCTACTAAAGACCTTTCGTGAGAGGTACCCAACAGTATAAATCAAGTTTATAGAGTTGTTCTAATATATTGTGCAACTATTCAACTTAGCATAGTGTTCTTGCTGATAGGCTTCTATATAGAGTTTGTGAAATCAATTAACAAAGCCCTCAATGTTTTTTTATGACTTAAGATGTTAACTTTTCTTCTTTTCACAGGATGGAACTCGAGAAAAGATGATTTATATCTATCATTCGTTAAAGAATAGGAGAGAGATACACATGATGGGAAATGAAGAAACACAGGTTTGTTCCAACCTAAAACATTTCCCTTTGATTTATGGGTAATATCCTTTACTTATGACTTTAATGTGCATTTAACATTTCATATAATTGACAACTTTGAAAGGGGGTGATATACATGCATGAAAAGAATATAACTGGGACCTGTAGCCTTTGGGAAAGGTGTAATCATTGTGAAGCTTTAAGTTTCATTGAAAACGCACCATAAATGACCTAATTAGTAGTATTTGATTGCACTTTTCTTTTCAGTCTCATGGACTTCGCTTTTCTTTATCACACATGGATGCACTGAAACAGATTTGGAACAGTTCAGCTATTCCTGTCAAGGACCTGAAACTTAATTCAGATGAGGAAAAGGAAAACCTGGTATTATCCCTCTGGACAGAATGTTTAATCCAAGTAATCTAGTATTTCATACTAACCTTAAGTGAACAGACTGGGTGGGAGGCATGGCTAAGCACAGCTGTCCTTACGTGCGTGCACTAAATAATCCAGAAAGTGACAACACTGTACTTTTTACAAGTTTATTAGTCCAGTGTGGTAGAAAAGGCACAACTTCAGTAAAGGTATCATTTAAATTTAGAGAATGTTACTTAGATTTTTGTCTTTGGGAAAAGCAATTTCCTTAAAATTGTAGAATTGATGAGGCTTTTTAAACAACATGAAAAAACAAATATTTACTTGGTTTTTACAATAAAAATATACATACCTTTGTTGTCTATGCAAGCCCATTCCATTAAATACTGCCCTGCTAATGAGAGGCACTCAACATCTGTGGGCTGAAGGAAGTTTAACAGATGCTACTGAATGACAAAGGATCCTGAGATTGAAGGGGGAAAACTCAGTATTTACATGGAAATACCCAAGTCTCTATAAAAAATACTTAAGATAGTGGCTTTTTGAGGTTAAACAGTTCAATGTTATTTTACATTCTAAAGTGCATACAGGTTGACACAATTTCTATATAAAAATAAAATAGATTAATTTGGCAAAAGTTGGGGTAATAAAAGATCACTTGCCTAAATATGTTTAAAACCAACTCAGAAGGAAAAATGCTTGTGAATTATATAGTGATTACTTCAAATTGAGTGAAAAACCAAGTTTTCTATCACTGTTCCACTTATGAGCAAAGCTAAAAATACTTCCTTTTTTAACCTGAACTTTCCCTCAGTAGCATAAAGAAGAAAAAGACTCTTATGTTGGTAAGTCTTTATAAAAATACTTCTTTGAGGGCAGGTGTGGAAAGATGAAATCGTAGCACAGCACCAGGTAGAGTCTCACTGCCCAGAATGGTCAACTTATTAGAGTATTAGGATGGCCTCACATTATTTCTGTTATTCTAGTCTGAAGGCCTGAGGAAACAGTGTCCACTGAAACAATCACAACACTTGAGTTACCTCCTGGGATCAGCTACAAGTATAAAAAAACTTAATAAAGAACCTTTAAAGGTTAATATAGGAAAAGAAATTGTTCATCTTTTTGAAAAAGTATAACAGGAATTTTGGTTTCCCTGTGCCTTAGATATATAATGGCTGTCACTACTAGGATTCATGTTTGATGGACAGAAAGGAAAAAAAAACAGCCTCATGAAACGCTCACCAAAACTGGAGATCCAGGAGGAACAGAACCTTTCTCCCAGAAATCATAATGTAGTCTTCACTGGATAAATAACAGATAGTCTTGGGGACAAAGTTCATTCCACTCAGTGATCCAGGAGTGTGAGGACAAGAGGCTTCCTTCCCATGAAACAAATTTCCTTCCTTTGCTCTTTCTAGAGAGATTGTGGATTCTCATAATATTTCAATGTCCCATTTCTGTGTATCTTCTCCCTCCAGGGGCTGATTTACAATAACATGAGTCTTGTCATAATAATTTCCTCCTAAAATAGAAGTTGTAAAAGAAAAGGTTATTTTTCACCATAGGTGCTTAACTACTTTTAGTTTTCATCAGCTTCTATTCAGCCCACTGTTTGTACAGACAAAGTAGTTTGAATTGGGAAACTGAATTTAACTAGGTTTAGCAATTACTCATCTCAAATTGAAGAACTAGAAGGTATAACAGATGATTGCATAACCATTGTGCACTGACAGGTACAATGTTTTTGTCCCTTTTGGTGGCTGTGACTAAAACCAATTACAAGCAACAGCCGTGAATAATATTGACCCTGAGGCTGTAATACTTAGTGTAAATTTTAACTGCGGGCTTTTAAGGATTACAGCAATTTAGGGCAAAATGTTACAAATATTTCCAAGAAATAGACATCCATGCTGAGGTTGTTGAGTCTTCAAAGTTACAATTGTTCTTAAAGATCATGTAGCAAGTAGAGGTTTTATATCTGTACTAAAGAACAAAGACCTTACATATTGTCCTTTCTTCTGCTTGTTCCATAATTGTTGTGCTTTTCAAAATGACTTACCTTTCTTTTTTTATTCAAGCATAATTACTTTTCTTATGTAAAAATTTCTTTCACCTAAGAGAAAGAGGTCTAGCATATAAGATGGCCTCTGGGACACGGAACACTGAGCAGGCCCACCTTTAACATCAAGGACCAGTTGATCACTGAGATAAGAGCTGATGGTTCCATTTCTGTTCAGTCTCCACTTCTGCCTGAACTGCCCATGCTCAGTCCACAAGGCCACTTTAGCCCCGGGTGTATCCCGGCCACCAATCACATCGAGACATGTATCACTGGCCTGAAAGGATTAAGAAATAAACTGGCGGTAAGCACTGTTTGAAGTGTGATAACTTTTTTTTTTCATTAAATCTTCCTTAAAGGAAATCTGCATCCAACAACGGATGTTCAATGCTAGCCTGTTGAATTAAATGTTAAGCTCAAACTACCACATCTCAGCAAACAGGGACTTGATTTCCTTTCATAAACACTGACTTGCTACATTCAGACAATAAAATACTTTTCATTTTCGAACTGTGAGGAAGAAGGTAAATGATCCATGCGTGACACAGAAAATCAGGATTTAATGTTTTTAAATTGGTGTTCTATTCCCTGGGACATCAGAAGATGGTACAGAAAAACAAAAATTTCTCCAGTTTCTTTTACTTCACAGTATAGAAACAAATACACTTATCATGACATTAGATTTGGCAAGATTCTGGTTTCCAAAGTGATATGGTACGGCAGTATCAGTGTGGCTGCTTACCTTGGATTTAAAGAGTCCCCGGCAGTAGTGCCAGATCTGATTGTTCTTTCCACTGTAGGGAGAAATGCACACGGACGAAGCCCTGGTGTCAGCAGTATTTCCAGTGACGGTCAGATACTCATCCTGGGCTCGGTTCTTTATTCTGATGTACACTGCAGGCTGGCAGGGAAAAAGAAACAGACCATTAGGGAAGAACCTAAATGTGGAGCTTTCCAAACGGAAAGCTTGAGGGAACGTGAGAGGCAACAGTACTTTAGCAATTATTTATAAATTCCTACTTTTCTATTGACAAGTCCTTAGCCCAGTATGTACGAAGTATAAGGCTCCACGTATAAGAACTGAATTTGGTAAAGTCACAGTGTCAATATTTCTGATTATTGTACTAAGTACCAAATGACTATTGTGGGAGATCATGAGAAACCCAGCTACCTGAGGGCCACTGTAGCCTCTTTGTTCAGATTATCACTTGCTGACTTTCGTTTTTCTTCATAGGAAGAGCTCCTGTATGTTTAATCACTGCTTGAGGTATTCAAAAATTGAGTAGCATAGGACTTAATCCCCAGCCCTGGAATGTACAACTGAAGTTGTAAAATAATAAGATCTAGGACTTACCTCTAAAGATAAAAGCTAGTATTTATTGAAAGCTTAGTAAATGTCAAGCAGTGTGCTAAAGGCTTTCTGGACCATTGTCATCTCTGGGAATTAACCAGAATATCATTTTAAGTAGATAATGACCCTAATTTTATAAATAAGGTTTAACCCAGACATGGAGAAGCCAGGTCTCTCTGCACTCAAACCCTTGTTTTAACCAGTGTGCTGTAAAGGCATTTGCTAAAATGCTCACCAGGAATATTAGACTTAACTCCAGAAGGGGCAATGTGATTTAAAGATGATGAAATAGCACACAACTGAGGCTCCACAGAAACCATTCGCTGAGCTCTGGCCTCATGCCTCCCATCTTGTAACAGTCCCAGCACCCCCACCCATCACGTATAGCCCCAATGAATCCTGCTAAGTAGCAAGGAATGACCTGTTACTTAGTCAAGGAACACTTCACTAAAACCACTGTAACAGGATGCCCTTTCTAAGACCACTAGTGGTTTTCTCACTTTTTCAAAACTCAGATCAACATGAAGTCAGTTCTATTTTGGTAAATTATTGCCACGGTAAAGAAACAGACATGGAACATTTAAGTAAGCAAATTGAAGAGCACCTTTTTATCTGATACTCAAAAGTACATCAAGAAGAATTCTTGGCAAGTATTTTAAATGTCTCAAACCACTGCTTCCACATTCATAATGCAACAGTAATATACTTAAATTTCTCTAATTTGGCTTGGTCTCCCACAACTATTAATTGTTGAGGCTTCAGTGTATATTACAGTTTCCTTACCTTGTACAGGGGACAGCGGTTCGATCACGTTAGGTCCAAATATGAGTTTTGAATTCAACTCAAGCAAGGTACTAATTACCCTTATTACACAGTTTCTAGAGTATGAAGTAAAGGTGTACCAATAGCCTTACCAAAAAGGAAACAGGACCCATAATTCTGTGTCACAAACCTAGTAATCTTTTGTTGGGTTTCAAAGCTGTGGTCTGAATAAATAAGGAACACTTAAGATACTTTGAAATGAACTGTTTAACCAAAATAGAAATAAGGTAATTTTCTAATGCAAGAATAACAATGTTAGTTGTAAGAAAAAAACTTCCATCTGTTGTGCTAAGTCCTGTTTATCTCAGCACATTGAACAACAGGCAAGGAATCTTTCCCAGCATGAAATCACCTTTTAAAAGTGAGAGTAAGATTCTTGGTGCCCATCTGGGCTTCTAAAATTTCTAACAGAACTGAATCCTCACCTCTACCTCGCTTTACCCAGGCTGTCCACTGGGATCAGCAATTATCCTAGGTGACAGGAGTGAGGTAAGCAGAATGTGAAGAGTAGAATCCTGTACCACACAGCGGCAAGGAAACCCACACACAGGCAGCAATTGTCAGAGAACATCTTGGGGACACCAGGTAGATACTGTGTTGCGGTCTTTATATGCATTATTTTATCCTGACAGTCAGAAAAATAAACATTGTTCATCATTAAGCGACCTTGAGGTGGCAAGAAATGAAGGCTCACCTACAGGCACCCCACTTACAAGTGGCAGAGCGTGGGTCTGACCCACCGTGAGAATGGGTGGAAGGCCGGCTCCCATCTGTGTAACACTCCACATCACGACCTTGGCATTTCTCAGAGCTGGTCGTTACTGGGCTACACTTAGCATTTGCAAGATGAGTATCAGTATTAATCTTGGAGGCAAGCAGGGAATGGTTGCTTAAGAACAAAGATTTTACAGCATAACAGACTGAGATTTGAATTCTGGTTCTGACACTCGAATGAGATTTGCCAACTTGCTTTATTTCTCTGAGGCTTCTTTTTCTATCTGTAAAATGGGAGTGTTAAAGCCTACCTTAAATGGGCCTTCCCTGGTGGCGCAGCGGGTTAAAGTTCGCACTAAGAAGCTTAAGCCACTTCCGCATGAGTTTGATGCCCGCCTGCCCCAGAGGTGACCACATGGCATGGCAGACCTCTCCTGACCCGCCCGCTGCTCCCCTCAGCAATGTACTTCGTTGATCTGCCTGTTCTGCTCCCCACTCTGTCTCTGGTGAATCCTCTCACCCTCCGCATCTGTGGCCTGTACCCCGGTTCTGTATCAATCAATAAATAAATCTATATAAAAAAAAAAGTCTACCTTAAATGACTGGCTGCAATCAAGTGACAACATGCTTAAGAGGGATTAGAGAGAACTGCAGATGGTATGTCCCTGACTGTAACAGCCTCGCTTGGGTTCCCACCCTCAGTGAGCCTCCCACTACTCTCATGTTCCTGTTTTCCTTCTCTGACCTAGTCATTGCCTGTGTGTGGCTTACACATTGTTTTGCATTTTGTTTTTGCTTTGAGTGACCATATTTTACCCAGCAAGCAAGTAAGCTTCGACTAGGAAGAAGTCATGTAAAGCCCCTAGGCGTAACACTAAACATTTATCAACTTAACACATTAAGTTCTTAAAATAAACAAATAGTCCCTACAACATGCTGGACACTGTGACAGGCGCGAGGAACAAAAATCAGCCTCTACTCTCTCTGGGCGCGCTGGCGCTCCTGCAAGCCTTGTCACCCGCAACTGCGTGGTTACAGAGCACGTGCAGCGAGTGTCTCGTAGGTGGACGACCAGGGATGTTTTATAATTGACATGGAGAGAGGGGGAATAAGAGGGATAAGTAAAAACTAGCTAGCACAGAGGAAGGTCAGCAGTGCCTAGCCGGGGCAGGGCTATTCAGAACCTAAGCAGCACAGTACTCGGTACTGGGCCACGGGGAAGAAAACTGGTCAGAGGCGCTAGAGAGGCAGGAGCAGCGCTCAGAGACCAGGCTGCCGACTTCAGACTGTATCCTAGAGCAGGCGAAGCGGCTGAAGACTGACACGTCGTGGGAGAGTAAAATACTATTTTAACTCAACTGCCAGGATCCATCGTGGGTATTATGTAAGTAGGGAGAAAATCCAAACACTTAGGAAGTAAAGCTAATACCATCTCAAGAGTTCATGACTTCGCATTGCTTTTCAGAGAACTTAATAGTATTTTGTCATGGAAAAGCACAAGGTCAATAGGACTGTGTGGACCTTAAGTACAATCTTATGGACTAGATACAGTTTCTAATTAAGTCTTTATCCAAATCTGACTTCTCTGCAACACAAATGGCAAATCTAACTAAATATTTCAGATGCTTTGGCTTATGACATTTCTACTAGAAAACAGCTATTTCGGATTCCATGGCCCTTTACTCCTTACCTGCTTCATAGGGCGGAGTGAACCAATGGTTTTCCATCCACTGAATGCTGTCCAATTTGGGATCTCATTGGGCTCAAGTAGTATTTGTCGTCCCAAGAAATTGGATCCCTCATAAGCTATCCATCTATGTGAAAGCAAGGAAGAAAAAAGGAGGATACATCAAAACACCATGCAACCTCTTATCAAAGACTCCCAATGTTATACAATACAGGATCTTTGCAATACTTAGGTTGGAGGTGGGGAGGAGGGAGGTCAAAAAGGGAGGGAAGAGCGCAAGGGAATATGGTGCTGGGCATGGTGAAATGGCGGGAGAGCTGTGGGGCCAGGGCCATAAGGCAATCGCTAACAAATCCTTGACATCTGCTGCAGAAATAAGGCAGCTGGGGGCAATGGAGCTCTGGGCAGGATTACTGGGCTCTGCTGGTGGCCTCTGAAAACACAGTTGCAGAGGTTTGATCCTTACAACCCAACAAACTAATACAATGATGTATGCCAGCTTCAGTATATACAATGGAGCGGGGGAAGGGGGTGACAAAGCCTAGCTTTGAGATTTTTGAGCAAAAAATACAGATTTTATTTTTTAACAAAAATCAGGGATGACCAGAGAACCCAGTGGACTGTGGCTCAGGTTTAGATCCAGTCACAATACTGGTTTCCCTTCAAAACACAAGGATTCTGCTGCTGCTCTTTGATCCTTTGATAATATTCGGTCTTTTTTTTCCCACACCATTGACCTTTGAAGGTAGGTGGCCTAGCCCCTCGCCCCCCATCACTGCTCCGCAGTTGGAAAACACGAGTCTTTCCCAATAAAGCTCATCATCACATGTATTTTGGGCCCCTCAGGGTACTGCCATTCATAACGTCACGAAGAGCACTGATTAAAAAAAATTACTCATAAAAATCCCCAGTCTTACTCTTATTCCAAGGCCTGATGTCTTTGCAAATACTTACAAGTACCCTGGCAGCCTTCAGCTCTAGCCAGGTAGAGAGTGCAGAGCCTTCAAGAGCATTGAAAGCCTCAGGACTTAATGAAACATGGTTACATCCATCTCTTTCAGTATTAATGTTGGCTGCTCTTTTAAAAAAAAAATTAAAGGGCCTTCCCTGGTGGCGCAGTGGGTTAAAGCACAGCACTAAGAAGCTTACACCACTTCTGCATGAGTTTGATCCCCGCCTGCCCCAGAGGAAATCCACATGGCAAGGCAGACCTCTCCTGACCCGCCCGCTGCTCCCCTCAGCAGTGTACTTCATCAATCTGCCTGCTCTGCTCCCCACTCTGTCCATGGTGAATCCTCTCACCCTCTACATCTCTGGCCTGTACCCCAGTTCTGTACGAATAAATCAATCAATCTTTAAAAAAAAAAGATTTATGCATACAGACTTGGGGTACAGGCCAGAGATACAGGGGTGGTGAGAGGATTCACCAGAGGCAGTGGGGAGCAGAACAGGTAGATCAACAAAGTACTCTGCTGAGGGGAGCAGTGAGCGAGATAGCAGAGGTCTGCTGTGCCATGTGGGTCACCTCCCTGCCTGGGGATCGAACTCGTGTCGAAGTGGCTGCGGCTAGCTTCACAGTGCTGTGCCTTAACCCGTTGTGCCACTAGGGAGGACCCCAACATTGCCTGCGCTTTATAGTAATGACAAGTTACAGTTGTGATAGGCTGGCTAACAAAATGAGAAGATCACCTGGCCCTTTTCAGAAAAGATTGGCCACCACTTTCAGTGGCAAATCAGTTCAGTGGCTGTGAGGCTGGGTGGCTGATAGGATAAGGTGTAAGCATTTAGGTCAGTCAAAAGCTTTGGCAGAACAAGGTCATCACACACCATGTTTTCTGGAATTATCACTGAAAAGCAAGGTGGTTGCCTAGCTTGGTTCAGAGAAAGCACCCTGTCCCTCCAGAACAATATCAATTTGGCCAAATTGTGGAAATGGAACGAGACGGAGGAACACTTTCCTCCTACCCCTCCTTCCCTGCTCAGATCTATGCCACTAGATTGATGCAGCATCAGAAAAGCATTACCCACATCATCAGCTTTGCAGATTCTTTAGGTAGGTAGGGGAGATTCAGTTAAAAATGTAGGGAAGGTTTTAATATGCTGTATCTCAATCTATATTAATCTAAATGAATTCCACAGTTGAGCTGTGTGGGATGGTGCCTTAAGCATGGCCTCCACCATCACAGGCCAGAGATGGGCTAATGAGGACCTGGGTGAGATTAAACACACAAGCAAACAAAACTTGTCACTGTGGGTAGCCGACTGTGCACGAAATAGTATTCTTTGAGCTATCTGTAGCTAGGAAACTTCAAACAGCCTTTGCTACATCTTATGGTGGACTAGTTAGACCAGAACCATGGAAGTTGTTGGTAGATAATATACTGAAGAAATGTCAAGGTAAAATGGCACTGGTTTCTTTAAAAGAGTGAAATCAGACAAATCTTCAGCGGTAAGTCCATAAAAATTGTAAAGAAAGGGGCAAGAATGCTACAAAAGTCACATTTCACAGAGATGGAACATTCGAACAGATTTGATTAAGTGGTAAACAATATCCTGAACTAGAGGATTTTCATGCTTACAGATACCAATTTATGTTTAGTAAACAGCCATGTGAAAAGCTTTTCTGAAAAATATTTAAGCCACAACACATGCAAATATTACAGAAGCCACTTATTTTAATAGTTGACAATTTTCAAGTCAACTTATATCCTTAGCTTTCTCATCCCTGGATAGTCAAGAAAGTTGATCAAGCTATAATTTAAAAGTCATGAGAAAAAACAGTAATCTTTGTATTAATTACCAACAGTTATGTGCTCTTTTGATTGACTTTTGATACTGCCCACCAAGGGCGCAGGAGGCAGGCTTACAGTCCACTCTTTGGAAGTGGCTGACTCACAGATCATCCTTTGACTTCAGGGCCCCTCACATGCAGGCCTGTGAGCACTTCTGCTCTAAATCAATATGCAACCTCATGCCTGGTATCATTTTTCCTGTTTTTAAAGTGGTCTCCCAGGCTTCCAAAGAGCATGCCCCACATAACCTGAATTCACCCCTGAATGAACCGCAGCATGCGCAGGCAGGGTGGATCAGCCAGGAGACTAGCATGGAAGGGAGTGCACTGAGCAAGCAGGCCTGATAAACAGAATCAGAACCCAGTAACACAACAGTAGTCACTTGTCTTAAGCAGTCAGCAGTCTCAACCAAAGTTACCAGTTGGGTTAGGTTCCCCCTAAAAGGAAAGTGGGCTCAACTGGGTCCAGACACCTAGCTGACCTCTTTGGCCACATGCTGTGGACCACGGCAGCCCTTTGCTTACAAAAGGGTGTTTTTCCAGCCCCTCGCACACTGCTGCTTGTTGGAGACGATCCACCACAGTCATCTCTTATTTAAACAGAAACTCACATCACATCACCACCTCCCTGGTGGTGCAAAGGGTTAAAGCATAGCACTATAAAGCTAGCCGCAGCCACTCTGAGGAGAATTCAACCCCTGAGCAGGGAGGTGACCCATGTGGTGTGGCAGACCTCTCCTGTCTCACCCACTGCTCCCCTCATCAGTCTATTCAATCTGCCTTCTTCCCCACCCCCCCACTCTGGTGAATCCTCTCACCCCCTCCCCCTCTGCCCTGCCCCAGTGGCCTGAACCCCATCTCTTGTATGTATAATTTTTTTTTTTTTTTGTTAAAGAAACTGAAAGCACCAGCAGACCAAATAAGCACAGCAATGGGAGAGTAAAAATCAGGTGGCCACACCAAGGAAGCCTCCTCCATACTTACAGTCCACTTTTCACCCACACAGACTGTGTGTAGAAGTGCAGGTCCTTGTTCAGAACAGAGTTCACAGCCTCTTCTAGGTGTAACTCTCTTCCCTCACAATGTTCCAAAGCAAAAAGGCTGATGGAGGGTTCTTCAAAAACCTAACAGCACCAAAGAGAGAAAGATAGCATCACCACATGGGTTCGCCAGACCTGAGAGAGCTCAGTCACAGTGCAGGACATACCCAGACCCACTGTACTAAATGCATACTATACTGCTGTCACCGCTAAAGATGACAGTTGAAACTTCACTGATTAGTGATTCTTTTAGTCGCTTCTTGATAAATTAATCAGAAAAGCATCTTCATAATAAATACAGGCACTGGGTTCCAATCCCTTGTTACAAACAGGTGCTGTGGAACCTGGATGGCGCAGGACGAGAATGGCATCCTCACTTCACTGGAGGTTTGGGCGCAGTCACTGAGAAGCAAGATTTTATAATTCTGGGCTCTTAAAGCATTCATAGGGAGCAGAATAAAGGACTTTTAATGTAACAGGCCTAGTGCACAGGGCCGGGTGGTTTCTGCATTAAAAGTAAGTAGTAGATGCCTGTATGCTGAAATGAAAGGGTAAACTGAACTTTTCCCAACATTTCCACCCTTTAGCTTTTCAAAAGAAGCATTTCTGCTTACTTTACACATCTAGCTGTTGAGTGACTAGATAGCAGGATGGCAGACAAGCCAGAGCCTGGTCAGGCTCACAATCAACCACCATGGCATTCTTCCCAGTAGTGTTTCCAGAGAAAGAAATTAAAAGCTTACTAGTACACTAACCGTTACTCTAAAACAAAACAAAACAGGACCGGTGTACATTTTCTTTCTGAAGACACTACACAAAAACATGTTTTAAAAGGCTGCCATTATTCAGATTCCAACAAATTCAAAAATTTCAACAAATTTCAACAAAGTCACTCTCAAATTCAAAGAAGATATCGCATCTAGGATTTACCTTAAGGGAACAATGAAAAGGTTGGAGAGGATCTCACAAATTGTTTAAAATGTGTTTGCAAGGGGGTTGAGAAGAGGGTGGTAGAAACATGAGCACTGTTCCCTTGACAAGAAGGGTCAGGACACAAGTGCTAGGAAACCCAGTGTGTAAATGGTAAAAGAAAGAAACAGCATCAAGTAAGAAGTAGGACTCACAGCCCACGTTCCACTGACGATAATGGGGTAACAGCATGTGGTCCAGTCTGTCAAATCTTTAATTGGGGAACATTTATTATTACTGTTTGATGTTATTTACCCTAGAGGCTTGCCATATATTTGATGTGATTTTTCTTTATTTAAATTATTTTAATATAAAAAGTCTTAAGACAAATATATGTAAATTAAAAATGTTTGACTACAAATGTACTTTGTACTGAGGAGATTTTATAAACACTTGCTAATGTATGCAGGGTGGTGGGAAGTGGTTAGTGGATAATCATTCAGAAATAAGTGCTAGAGTGTATCTTAGCGTATTCAGATCTATTTTCCAAACATGGAATTCAGGAGCTACAAGCTATCAATAGCTTTCAAAATTGAAGGTGATCAAGCAATCAGAACTTTCCAAGGACAACAGAAACTACCAGAATGCAATTACAGTTTGAGCTTTACAAATGCCATGGCATCAGTCCACGTTAACTTAATAGACAGCCAAGCATCTGGGGTCTTCTAAGGTAACAGGACATTCCTGCTGGATCAAATCTAAGCCATGCAGAGTTTCTAAAAGGAGAATGTGATTAAGAAAGAAAAAGGAAACCAAAAAATTGAATAATTAAACTTTCAATAAGATAAAATCCCCTTGCTTCTCATCCTATGAATGTTTTGTTTTTACGTGAGAATACCAAATTCTTTGAACATAAAAATATTGCAAGCAGTTTTTCATCAAACTTTGTATTTCAAAATATCTTTGCACAATTCCAGAAATATTAAGGAAAACACAACAAATAGCTCAATTAGATCATATGCTATCAGGGCCCTCCCTGGTGGTGCAAGCAATATGAAGTTATCTGCTTTCTGTGGAATCTGTTCATTCCTGGATTCCCTCCCCACCACCACGCATCTTTGACCTGTACTCCAATTCTTGTATGCATAAATACATCTTAGAAAAAATTATATGCTCTCAATTTGTGCTTTAAATGGCAGTGATAGCAATAGATAATGTGTATAACACTATATGTGTCAGACACACATATACACATGTACATTTGCAACCTTCTGCAATCCCTTAGCTACAATTTTGAAATACAAAAATCCCTAAACCCAAAATTTTGCCCCAACTCACTTTTATGTTAAAGAATCTGACCTGAATATTTATTTACTAGAGTTATTCAAATTATGTAGTGATGGATATGTTTTGCTATAAGGAATATGAGAGTGTTTAATTAGAGAGTACAGCCTAGCACCCTTCTGAAGGCTTTTTCAAAATGTCATAAATGAACCATATTACTGGACTGTGTAAATCCTAAATCTCAACATAGGCTAGGGATTCTAGGACTGTATTCACCCCATTGATGGGGTGCTATCATTATCCCTATTTCACAGATAAAGAATCAAGGCATGAGTCCCACACAGTGAGTGAGACAGCTAGCACTGAGTCTACACAGTATGGCTCCCAAGTTAAGTTCTTTACCCCTACATTAGGGTTCCAAAATATCCTCCATACCAGTGATTTACAATGCAGACTATTTGTGAGTGGTGGACATGAGGTTATCTCAAGCACTGACTTCCTCTCGCTCATCCATTCTCACCTACCCAGCGGCTTAACAAATATGTCACCGTCTGCCTCTGAAGGGCCAATAAGCCTGCGCAAGCACTGCTAGCAGCGATTCACATCAACACATCTTCTGTATAACTGGATAAAAACATCTGTATCATTGGATAAAAGTTGGAAATCTAACTACTAACTTCTGACATTTTAACAACCACATAGACTTGCACTTTGGCATGTCTAGTTCTTTGTGTTTCAAATCATGGCTTATATGAAAAAGGTGTTGACAGTGCCTCAGGATTATGTTAATTGGCTCTAAGTATAATACTTTTATTCTAAAACTCTCATGCCATCAGCCACTGAGAACAGTGGTACTGCACACCCCAAGCTAACAATATCACTTACCGCCATGATTATTAAGTGAAACATAGTTAAAAAAAAAAAAAAGTTAACTATGGATTCACCTTTCCAACCGGTCTTTTAATTTTTTCCTTTTTTAAGAGTTACATTTCAAAATGTATCCAACTCCTCAAAGCAATACACTTTTCTGTACTGGAATGAAATGTTATAAAGAATATGAGTCCACCTGAATTTGAACACACCCCTTCTCTAGGGGTAGCCATCCCACTGAGGTTGTGAATCCTTCTTGCTTGTGATTTTATACTTTACTAATCATCAGTGTCTTTTAAATCTCACAGAAATGTATCTTAGTGTGACATGTTAGCAGTAATACGCATAGCTCAACTTCACTCACTGTACTGTGCACCTTGTAGGAATGAGTTCCACAACTTGTTTTTTTCACCAGTGCCTCAGCAAGTATGTTAGACCCCAAACCCCATGTACGGGACACTCCTTCCACTGCTCTGAATCCTCACCTTCCCCCAGTAAAACAAACCATGTAAAATAATGCAGTATTATGCGCTTCTTGGTTTGACCTGCATTCACTTGATCACTAGTGAGGTATGTCCTTAGCTGTTTTTCTCCCTTCTGTGAACTGCCCATTTATCCTCTCTCAAAAAAGCAAACCTCTAAATTAAAAAAAAAAAAAAATTTTTCTCAGTTAATTTTAAAGAGTTATTTTTATGTAAGGGCTATAAATATATTCTCCTAGTCTGTGGCTTTGGGTGACAGACTGACGTGGTTTTCCTACAAATGCTACAGCAATTTCTGAGAGAAACCAGAAGGCAGGTTTCTCATCACACCGGCAGGCTCAGTGGGACGGCTTCCAAAGGCTGAGTCCCCAGCAGTAGGAATGGCAGGTTTTACACCATTTGTATGTGGAGACTTTCTAAGCTGTAGTGATAGCTGGCAGCTTGAAATATGAGCAAACTTTGTCAGTTTGAGTTCATCAGGAAATACCAGAAGGGGGGTCCTGATAACCACGATCATTATTGTAGGCAAGTTCAGAAGCAAGTTAGTAACTTCTCGCTTCACACACAAAGCACCCCCCTCCCTCCTGCAAACACACATACACACATGAGTCTACACCTTGATCCCTGGTTACTGGAACTCTGCAGATGTGATTAAAAGCTATGAATCCTGAGATGGGGATTTCAGCCTGGATTATCCAGATAGAGCCAACGTAATCATAAGCATCCTCAGTGGAGGTCAGAAACGGAGGAAGAACAGAGGATGCACTTTGAAGATGCAAGAGGGTCATAAACCAAGCAATACTGGGGGTCTCTAGGAGCTGGAAAAGGTGAGGAAACAGATCCTCCTCTAGTGCTTCCCAGAAGGTATGCAATTCTGCCAAACACCTTTCTATATTTTAGTTTAAAATTTTTTTTTAACTAAAAAATTTAAATGTAGTACTTCTTTCTTACATTGTTAATTTTTGGAAAATTACTTCTCCCCTCAGGCTGGTGGTCACAGTCACAGTTTTCCTACCACCAAGCACCTGTGATCTCTCCCCACAGTCCGTCCCTTCTGCTCTTCCTTCCTCTGTTCTGACCCTTCCCCCTCCACATCCTCCCTTGCTGTCTGTCTCAGGTCTATGTGTAGCTTTCAAGTTTTTCCGTATCCTTTGTTTGCTTTCTTTATATTCCTCATGTAAGTGAAACTGGCCAATACTTTTTCCTTCTGTCTTATTTTGCTTAGCGTAATCTCACCCAGTTCGATACAGGTTGCCACCAATCTGTGGGGTGGGGTGCTATTTAAGTTGTTTCCATACCTTGACTACTGTAAACTTTGCTGCAATAGACATGGGTGCAGGTTTCCTTTTGAATTAGTGATTTGTATCCTTTGAGTAGATCCCCAGGAATGCAAATGCTGGGTCATATAGTTGATCCAGTTTTAGTGTTTTAAGGAACCTTTACATGGCTTTCCCACAGTGGCTGGGCAGCCTGTGTTCCTACCAGCAGTGTGAGAGGGTGGCTTTTTCTCAATATCATCACCAGAACCTGTTTCTAGTT